GGCTAGTAGACGGAGGCCTTGCTAGAAGCCCAGACTTAGTGTATAATAGACTTAAAGATTTCATTAATAAAACATAAGATTAGCCATAAGAATGTTGTTATGAAGTTATAAGGAAAAATAGTAAACAACTTCATTATTAGTTGGAAATTTAGCTATTCATTGCTTTATTAATATGCCTTTTGCAAGAATTAAAAAATAATACAGTATAATATAAATACATGTAATTTCTGTTTAGCAAAATAGCACAATCTATGTGCATAAAATATATGATAGAACCATTAACTTCAAGTCCAGTCCCAATGTGTTATCCTTATGGTTCATGCCACCAGACAAGGGTAAGCATGAGGTAGGAAGGGAATTCATATCCGTGAAACTTAGCAGGAAGGGAAGATCAGAAACCAGGATGGAAAACTGCCTCTAGGAACAGATCTAAAATAACTGACCTGAAATCAGAAGCAAAGCAAAAGAGGAGCAGAATTAGGCCATTCTGCACACAGGGAGCTGCGATATGCAACATGGGTAATCAGGGCTTGGTAGGCAATCTGTGTGACAGTTGAACATTTGAGAGTTTTATAGGTGATGGTTGTCTTACACAGGCTTTCTCACCAGGATTTCTCTGCCAATAAAGAGTCAGAGTCAGGGGTGGATAGAAAGCAAATTTAAATCCAAATCCAAATCACAGAGAAGGAAATGGCAGCAGTCAGTGGCAATTCTGGGGTTCCAACCAAGTAGGGTATGGTAGGTGATAAAAAAAATAAAAAAGCCTTAGGTGCTTGAGGAGGGTATTTGGGGATTTCTAGAATTAGACATCCTGTAAAATGTGGTTAAAGACAGACACATTATTACCTATTAGAGGACTGATGCATGGAGTTCACGCACGGAGGGAGGAGGGTCCCTCAGCCTGGCCTGCACCTGCTCGAAATCTGGGACCGCTGGCTCCTAACCCTGCCTCCTGCCTGCCTGATCGTCCTTAACCACTCATCTGCCTGCCTGATTGTCCCTAACTGCCTCTGCCTGCCTGATCGTCCCTAACCACTCACCTGCCTGCCTGATTGCCCTTAACTGCCTCTGCCTCGGCCTCTGCAGCAGCGGCTTCTTCCGGAATGACCTCCGGAAGGTCGTTTGGCTGTCCGTTCTAATTAGCATATTATGTTTTTATTATTATAGATGTTGTTGGGGCCCAAAGAAAATTGAGTGTAGTAAGTGCTAAAATTCAGCAATAGGAACACTTAACTTTATTTATGCAAAGATGTGGACCATTCTTACAGGAGTGGATCATGTATTCATAGTTAAGTGTGAACACTTTCAGAATAAATTTATGATTCTATCAATGCAGCAAGAACATTCTCTGTTGAAGTTATACACCCCAAAACAAAGACTGGACATGTAATAGACACATTGCCTTTATTACCTTGTTATATTTTTCAAAATGAAAAAAAGAGTAGTGTCCTCAACCCAACAGAAATATTTTATTTTTTTCCAGTTTATGAGTGAAGAGATAGAGAAAACCTAGTAGTTCTCTAGAAATGTTTTAAAAGCAAAACACATCACATTCTCATACTGATTCAAATTTATTAACAACAGAATATTATCATAATTTATTGGGATGACATTGGTTAATAAGTTTCAGGTATGAATTTCCATGTTACAAGATCTGTATATTGCACTGTGTGCCCACCACCCAAAGTCAAATCATTTTATGTCACCTTATATTAGGCTCCATTCACCCCACCCCACCCACCTCCACCCCCTTCCCTCTGGCAACCACCACCCTGTGGTTTTTTTGTCCACGGGTTTCAGTTTTATATCCCACATATGAATGAAATCATATGGTTTTTAGCTTTTTCTGCCTGATTTATTTCACTTAACATAATATTCTAAAGGTGTATCTTTTCTTATGGCTGGGTAGTATTCCAGATGTGTATATGTACCACATCTTCTTTATCCAGTCCTCTATCAAAGGATACCTTGGTTGTCTGCATATCTAGGCCACCGTGAATAATGCTGCAATGAACATAGGGATGCAAATATGCTTTTGAGTTTTTCAGGCATATACCCAGGGGAGGGATTGCTGGGTCATATGGTAGCTCTGTTCTTAATTTTTTGAGGAATTGCCAGACAGTTTTTGCATAGTGGCTCTATCAGTCTACATTCCCACCATCAGTGAAGGAGGGTTATCTTTTCTCCATAATCTCTCCAACTCTTACTTTTACTTATCTACACTAATAAAAGAGAAACATTCAAATTGACCGTCCCTCCACTATGCCCACCAGCTAATTAGAGCGAGTATGCAAATTAACCCAACAAAGATGGTTAATTTGCATATGCAGGTGCAGAGCGAAGACTAAAGACAGCGTAGAAGGAAGCCAAGCTCTGCAGAAGGGAGTGAAGTGGAGGAGAAGGGAGGGAGCCGAGGCAGCGGAGACTGGAATGGAGCTGAGGCAGTGGACACGGGAGCATAGCCAAGGCAGCGGAGATGGGAGGGAAGCCCTATTCTTACAGGAATAGGCCCAAGAAAGCCCTAATCTTGCAGGAATCTTCCTGCAACAGGCCTCTAGTCTTATTGATAAAAGCCATTCTAAGAGATGTGAGCTGGTATCTCATTATAGTTTCGACTTGCATTTTCCCAATTGCTAATGAGGTTGAACATCTTTTCACATACTTATTGGATGTTCATACTAGTATGTCTTCTTGGTAGAAGTGTCTGTTCAGGTCCTCAGCCCATTTTTTAATTGGGTTGTTTGTTTGGTGTTGAGTTTTATGAGTTCTTTATGTATTTTGGATATTAAATCTTAGACAGAGCTATTGTTTGTGAATATCATCTCCCATTCAGTCAGCTGCCTCTTTGTTTTGTTGTCAGTTTCTTTGCTGTGCAGAAGCTTTTTTAGTTTGATAGAGTCCCACTCATTTATTTTTGCGCTTACTTCTCTTTCCTTTGGGGTCAAGTTCACAACAGGTTCTCTATGATCAAGGGCCATGTGTTTAGTACCTACTCTTTCTTCTATGTAATTAGTTGTTTCAGATCTTATTTTTATGTATTTGATCCATTTTGAATTAATTTTTGTACATGGGGACAAACTGTAATCCAATTTCATTCTTTTGCATGTGTCTTTCCAATTTTCCTAGCATCATTCATTGAAGAGGCTTTCTTTACTCCATGTGTGTTCCTGGCTACTCTGTGAACATATTCTGCCCATAAACATGTGGTTTTATATCTGGGCTCTTTGTTATGTTCCATTTCCATTTTTCTGCCAGTACCATGCTGTTTTGATAATCATAGCTCTGTAGTATAAATTGAAGTCAGGTAGTGTAATACCTCTGGCTTCATTCTTTTTTCTCAAGATTGCTTTGGCTATCAGGGTCTTTTGGAGTTTCATACAAATTTGATGATTTTTTTGTTCTATTTCTTTAAGGAATGACATTGGGATTTTGATGGGGATTAAATTAAATCTGTATAATGCTTTGGGTAATATGGCCATTTTAACTATGTTGATTCTTCCAATCCATGAACATGGGAATTTTTCCATTTTGTTGTGTCTTTTTCAATCTCTTTTAATAATGCTTTGTAGTTTCCAGGGTATGGCTCTTTCATGTTCTTTGTTGAGTTTATTCCTATGTATTTTATTCTTTTGTTTGCAATTGCAAAAGGAATTATTTTTTCATTTCTTTTCCTGAAGTTTCACTGCATACAAGAAGGCAGTGTATTTTTATACATTGATTTTGTATCCTGCAACTTTGCTTTATTGTTTATTGTTTCTAATAATTTTCTTGTGGAATCTTTAGGGTTTTCTATGTACAGAATCATGTCATCTGCAAAAAGTGACACTTTACTTCTTCCTTCCCAATTTGGATGCCTTTATTTCTTTCTCTTGCCTTATTGCTCTGGCTAGGCCTTCCAGAACTATGTTGAATAAGAGTGGTGAGAATGGGCATCCTTGTCTTATTCCTAATTTTAAAGGAAAAGCTTTCATTTTTGTGCCATTGAGTATAATATTGGCTGAATGTTCATCATATATGGCCTTTACTATGTTGTGGTACTTTCCTTCTAGAATTACTATATATTTTTTAAAAGCTGCAATGTCAATTCCATGTAGTTATAGCTTGTTACTGGGGAGAAATGCATCCACCGTGTGGATCATAGCGATTCAGGCTAGGCTTCAAGGGCAGAAGCTGTTTTACAATGATGAAGTGTATGGCATTGTTTTAGCCATTATAAAGAGCACCAGATACGTTTTCATTCACCTGGTGACAAAATAAGACAAGTAAATATATTTGGGAACTCTAATTTTGCATAAAGTATGTGATCAACCCCTTTAGGTAGAATACATCATTTAAAAATGATTGCAATCACAGCTGCTACCATGATGAAGGGGTTCCATAAGAATTCTTTTTCAGGTATACAACATGTCATGAGATTTTATGGAATAGGTTTTTACTTGCTTTTTCATCTTAAAAAATTTAGATTACCCATCTACATCCCATTATACCCCTGAAGATGAAGATTTATATCTCAGAGCAATGTACATGTTTAGTGGCAACAGACTAAAGAGTGACAGCAGGCTAGTACACACTTTTATGGAAATGGTAACAGGAAAGGATGGCAAAGCAATTCTCAATTGTATGCTAAAAGCAGTATTGGTAAGCTTGCAGACAAGACAAAACTACAAACTCTGCCATTACATATAAAAATAACAGATCATGATAGAAATCGCAGCTATGCATGATGGTTCCATTTTTTTCTTAAATTTAGATAAACATGAAAAATACCTCAACCTTGATTTCATCTTTTTTTTTTTTCCATAAACAATCTTGTATAAGCAAAGAGAAAGGAGATGGTCAAGAGTAATATACCTTGGGCATTTGGGCTGGGAGTCTCCAGTAGGGTGGAAGTGCAGGAGGCATGGCGGAGGATGCACCACAGCCCTTCCTTCCTTCCTTCCTTCCTTCCTTCCTTCCTTCCTTCCTTCCTTCCTTCCTTCCTTCCTTTCTTCCTTCCCACCATGGCTGACCAACTGACTGAAGAACAGATTGCTGAATTCAAGGAAGCCTTTTCCCTATTTTACAAAAGAAGTGATGGCACCATCACAGCAAAAGAACTTGTCACTATCATGAGGTCCCTGGGTCAGAACCCAACGGAAACCGAATTGCAGGATATGATCCATGAAGTGGATGCTGATGGTAATGGTGCCATTGACTTCCCAGAATTTTTTACTATGATGGCTAGAAAAAGGAAAGATACAGATGTTGAGGGAGAAATCAGTGGGTCCAATCAGTGGGTGGCTCTTGTGATATCTTCAGAAAATGAATTTTCTAAAATCCACACAGAAGAGTGAATGGTTTTTATTGGCGTGGAATTACATTTCTGGGTTTGTAAAATCCCATTGTATTTAAACCAGTCCTGAAAAGGATGCAGCTGGATGTTCAGCAGAGCCAAACACTGGGCCAGTGTCCAGAGCTGCCATTTGATGGTAGAGTTGAGTCGGCAGAGCATCCGGCTAGATTCATTCCATCAGTCCATTGTGTGGGTCCCATGTGGCCCTGAGCTACATGGGCGAATGCAAGGGAGTGTGGTCCCTGCAATAGGAGTCCCAGGACCACAGGCAAGCAGGAAGGGCAAGAGGAAGAGAAGTCTCCTTTGTTCAGGAATTTAAATATCAAATCTTCCCCATGCTCTCAGTCACCACTCTATTCTGGCCACTGACTCATTCCCAGATATGACTGACAGGTAAGCATCTTCCCTTGTCATCCACATCTTACTGGGCATGTATCTATCATCAAGTCCTTTCCCCCGGTGATTCTGGGGGGACGGACTTAGAGAATCTTAACTGCAGTTTCCTGACAAAGCTGTATAAATGGCATGCCTACTAGTATATATGTATATTTTTAAATATCTTTTTATTGATTTAAGGGAGGAAGGAAGAGGGACAGATAGAAACATCAATGGTGAGAGAGAATCACTGACCGGCTGCCTCTTACATGCCCCCTACTGGGGATTGAGCCCACAACCCAGGCATGTGCCCTTGATTGGAATCCAACCTGGGACCCTTCAGTCCACAGGCTGATGCTCTATCCACTGAGCCAAACCAGCCAGGGCATGGCATGCCTATATTACCTAGTCTCATCTTTATTCACTTTCTGTTAATAATAAGCAGGTTATTTTTTTAAATATATTTTTGTTGATTTCAGAGAGGAAGGGAAAGGGAGAGAGAGATAGAAACATCAAAGATGAGAGAGAATCATTGATCGGCTGCCTCATGCACACCCCCTAATGGGGGGCAAGCTCGCAGGTACCCTTGATCGGAATCCAACCTGGGACCCTTCAGTCCGTAGCCTGATGCTCTATTCACTGAGCAAAACCAGCCAGGGCATGGCATGCCTATATTACTTAGTCTCCTCTTTATTCCTTTTCTGTTAATAATAACCAGGTTATTATAATGGTATCACAGACAGTGAAGAAGAAATCCGCGAGGCATTTCAAGTTTTTGACAAGGATGGCAATGGTTGCATCAGTGCGGCACAAGTATGTCATGTTATGACAAACTTAGGAGAAAAACTAATAGATGACGAAGTAGATGAAATCATCAGAGAAGGAGATATTGATGGAGGTGGACAAATCAACTATAAAGAATTCATACAGATGATGAGGACAAAATAAAGACCTACTTCAATTCCTCCCACACCCTCAGAAGAATCAAATTAAATATTTTACTTACCTTTTGCAAAAAAATAAATAAATCATTCACTCATTCTGTTTCTCTATAGCAAAAGTGAATGTCAAGAGTACCTTCAGTCCACATGCAAAAAATCTGCATGAAATGGTTGGTGGTCCTTTCCCCTAGATATCAAACCACATATCAGTTTGACAGTATAAATCCTTGTACTACCTTAATGATAAGGAACTTAGTGGACTCCTTCCAGTTCCATTTGCTAATGATTAGTGCATTGTTTGGCCTGGACAGTTTTTCATGCATGTGGCTTGACAGTTGAACACAGTCAGGCATTTGCACTAAAAATGAAAAATGAAAAAACAAATTCAAAACCTATTCTAATTGGTTCTAGTTCAGTTTGTTAGTATAAACTGTCATAGCTGGTTTGCTGAAAGCAAACCCATTTAAAATTGGTTTACCTCAGGATGTGTGTAGAAAAATGGGTGAAGGATAAACTGTGTGGACGTAGCCCCACCAACAGGATAGTCCCTCTTGTACTTCCACATGCCCCAAGCTGTGGTGACGGTGACACATCCTGGTGGCATCCCTACCAATGTTGGCTTAGCATTGTCTGCATTATACTAGAGCAAAATGGGTGTCAGGCTATCACCATTCACACCAATTTTTTAAAAGAAACTTTTACCAAGGGAGCATCTTAGACTCTGTTTATAAAACCTTCTAAACCATGAGTTGGGGCCAGAAGAGGTAGGCTGTGGCTGTGGGCTTCAGCGCAACCATCAGCATTGCTGTTTAAGAAACTACAACTTATGTCCATTCCAAGTTGTACTAGTAAATGCTAATCTTTTTATTGTTTTTCCAATAAAAACGACTATTAACTTGAAAAAGAGTAGTATAGCTCAGTAGGAATTAAAATCAAAATAAACATTTCTTATCTACACATTGCTATGAATAATAATATTCAGATAAATGTATGGAAGTGACCATTTAAGTTCAATTCCCAATGTGATTTTGGAAAAATAACACACACACAGAAAATATATATTATGAGTTATGTTTTTATACAGTTTAGATGCATTTTTGTAGCTACACACAAGAGAAATGAAATGATTATTTAGCAAAAATCCAAGTGTATACAAGTTTATGACAACTATACTCTTCTTTGTTCTCACCACTTGAAGCCTGGCCTCCTTCTGTAAGCTTGAATTTGACCCCATTTATCCTCTTTGTCCCTGAACCTGTCTTGCCCTCTGGTAACCACCATTCTGTTGTCTGTATCTACAAGTTTGTTTTTATTTCTTCACTTGTTGGTTTTTGCTTCAAACCCTACATATGAGTGAAATAATACAATTCTTGTTCTTTTCCAACTGACATTTTACTTAGCATAACACTCTCAAGATCCATCAATGTTGTCCCTGACACCTGTTGACATACATTTAAGAAAATAAAGAAAACATTTTCTCAAAGGAAAAGAAATGCAAGTGTGGGAGAACGAGAGGTTCCTGATATCATGAATTAAGCCATGAATCATGTCTGCCAAGGCCAGTACTTCCTGGATGGAGTAACCTAGAAACACTCTTCCATTATAAAAGCAAATTTGTATAAAATTCATCCATTTTCTCAGTAGTGTTTATAAGCCATGACAAAATAGAAATGGTGCACATAGCTAAAATTCAGTTCTAAAGTGGTAATAATAGTTGATAATCATTGAGTACTTACAATGTTTGAGGAATTACTCTTTAACGTAGCACTTTACTTTTAACTTATTACTTAACATTTACATTTACCCCAGGAACTAGATACTATTTTTTAAATTACTTTTATTGTGGTTAAAAACCAAATATCAAAATTTGCCATCTTAACTATTTCTATGTGTGCAGTTCAATAGTGTTACGTTACATGCATTCACATTGTGCAACCGATCTGCAAAAAATTATCAATTTGCCAAACTGAAATTTTATATATATATATATAAAAGCCTAATATGCTAAGTACCCAATCGATCAGCAGACCCTTTGATCACTGCTCAACCAGTTGCTATGAAGCATACTGACCACCAGGGGGCATACTCTCCAACCCTTGCTGCTGGGGTCCTGCTGATCGGGACTGGGCAAGATGACCTGATAGGCCCCACCCATTGCTGGTCAGGCCGAGGGACCCCACCCATGCACAAATCTGTGCACCATGTCTCTAGTTAAATAATAATCTTTCATTTCTTGTTTCCCTCAGCCCCTGGAAAACCACCATTCTACTTTCTGTTTCTTTGAAATGGCTTCTCTATATACCTCATATAAGTGAAATCATATTGTCTTTTTGTGGCTGGCTTATTTCACTTAGCATAATGTCCTCAAGATTCATCCAGGTTGTAACGTGTGTCAGAATGTCTTTCCTTTTAAGGCTGAATAATATTCCATTGCATTTGGTTTATCCATTCATCAGTTGATGAACACCACGTTTGCTTCTACCTCCTGGCTATTGTGAATATGGATAGTCAAACATCTCTTTGAGATTCTACTTTCAATTCTTTTGGATATATATCCATGAATGGGATCGCTGGACCATATGGTAATTTTATTTTTAATTTTTTTTTTGGAGCAGAATACTGTTTTTCATAGCTGCTATACCATTTTACATTTTCACCAACAGAACACAGGGCTATCCTTGTGGGTATCTCATTTCTTGCTACTATTTTCATGCCGGTTTTTCAGATGTTGAAACTAAGCTACAGAGAGGTTATGTAACTTGTGAAAAACCACACAGTTTAAAGTGGATCTTCAAATCCACACTCTGCCTCTTTTTCTTGAATTTCTCACCACTACTCTGCAGCCAGTAATATATATATATATATATATATATATATATATATATATATATATATATATATATGATTCCTGTGTAAGAACAAATAGAAACAGAGTATCCAGTTGATGCACAGTTGATGCACAGTCTGCACTGGAAATATGAAAATAGAGAAAAACAGAAAGACTGAGTTCCCCTTAATTGATATTAAAACTCTCATGAACAGTAATAATCATTTTGTCAGAATGTATGAGTCATAGTGATGAATAAAAAGAGTAATGAGCAATGAAGGAAAAGGTAGATAAAAACTAGAGCAGAAGAGAAACATTTTCCTTTCTCAGACTTTGGTAGATTTTATCTGGCTTATAAAGTGGAGTTGGCGATGTGGTAAATGCAGTAAATCATACTAGCATCACACCATGTATTATTCATGACTAGTTGCACAAAAATAATTGCTTAGATTAACCATTTAATTAATGTTATATTTAGTAACATCGATTTTAACACTCTGTATTAACCTCATTTGTTGTACTTTTTAAATCCCAGGCTAAAAAAATCAGAATACTTTAGAGAATTATTAGACCAGGTGGATGACTCTCACCTGAAAAAATTCTGTCAAGATTCTAATGCATTTTAGTGAGTGGCACGTATCTTGACAGTAAGAATGACTACCAAGCACTCTGACGGGTTTGGCTCAGTGGATGGAGCATCGACCTGCAGACTGAAGGGTCCCAGGTTGGATTCTGGCCAAGGGCATGTACCTTGGTTGCAGGCACATCCCCAGTAGGGGGTGTGCAGGAGGCAGCTGATCAATGTTTCTGACTCTCTATCCCTCTCCTTTCTTCTCTGTAAAAAATCAACAAAATATATTTTTTAAAAAAGAATGACTACCAAGTAATGAGCACCTGTGACGTGCCAAGCTTTCTGCTAAATTTTTACCATGCAATATTCTCATTCAATCCACATAAGTACTGCTTAAATGTATTAATAATACAGCAGAAAATTTTGAGGTTATATTAGTGTCCAAAGTCCAACCCTGCTTTTGGAGGATACAGAATTCAAATCAGTTCTATTCTGGAGTAAAATCGTAAAATCGAGTCCTAAAGAAATAGGATGCCCATTTTGTTATTTGTTCATATAATCATTTATTAATTTATCAGATTTTAGTAAATGCCTTCTACATGCCAAACAAGAAAGACAAGATCTAGTCTCTGATTTCAATGATGATGAAGTCAGCTTATCATGCTTTGATAGGATATATCAGGTTTTAACTTCTGCTTCTGAGTAGGACAAAAGATGCCGTGATATAAGACCCATACTCCCTGGAATACCTAGAACAAGCTTGATGAATTATAGATATCATATTTTTAAAGACAGCAAAGAGTTATGGAAACAATAACTACAAGAGGAGTTGAAATTCCAGGGAGGTGGATCTTTTTAAGCTGAGCTGACAACCACCAGCCTTTAGTTTTATTTAATCGTGAACTTGAGGCTTGATGCACATAGAGGGGTCTCTGTGAGAAAAAGCTCATCAAGGCTTTTGGTAGTTACACAGAAATGATATGATAGGTATGAAACTTCGAGAGCCCCAAACACAAAGCCACTTTTCCCGTGGGATATGTTTTCATGTTTGGGGTTACTTATGAGATGCAGGGATATGAGAGCCTATAGCTCGCAAAAGGCAGACTTAAGTCTCTTAAAGATAAGTTGTTCTTAAGAGACCAAGTTCTTCTAGAATAAGGGGAGCGCCTCAAATACACACAGGTACTGGCCAGATTTGCGTCTGGGGTTTAAGGGTTAAATAGCTGGGCTTTAAACCTCAGGAGAATAGGTAAGCAGTTAAAATCCAAGCTTTCTAATAAATTCCTTATCACCTGAGCCAATAGATAACACTTATTTAAAAAATAAATATATATGTCACATTTAACATTTGCATTACATATATAATACATAATAAATATATTTAATAAATTATATATAAGTATGTACACACATATATATTTCTATACCACATTTTGCATTTCTAGTTTTTCTCTTTGGCACTCTTTCCTGATCAAGACCCATGTCTGTGAATGGCTAGTTGGGGATAGGCTACAAAGTGTAAGGAAGGAATCAGAGAATGAAGACCAGCAGTAAAAGTTATTGGCAATTCCACTAAAAAATGTGCAGACTAAATAAAGACTCACTATGT